GCGCGGCCGCGCTCATCCCCCGCGGGGTCCCGACGCCGGACCGTGCCCTCCTTCGTGCGCGCGGCGGAGGGAGGAGCGCGTCTCACGTGTTTTAGAAATGTTTTTCGCCTGTGTAACTGTCATCACCACAACGGTTCTCGGCAGCCCAGGGCGCATGCCCAGAACCTGTCTGCAGGCCCTGGAGAATTAGTGGCTTGGGGTCCGTGTGCTGCTGGTAACGAAAGCGAGCGGAAGCCTGCCGGTGCCGGGGGAGCTCGGACCCCGCCGGCAGTCCCGGGTGGGCGCGCCGGGGATCGTACTGGCACGCGGCGCTCCGTGCCCAGCGGCGCTCGGACCGGGGTGTGGAGGGTGTGAAGTGCGTGCTGAGACTGCGGGCTCCGTCTGCTTGGGCAGGCTTAAAACAGACACAGGTCGTCTCTTACCCCGTGCCCTCCGCGCCCCTGCCCGCCCTTTTAAGTAAATTCTGGGCCGTTGAGTACAGAAAAGAGCAGGAAACTCGGTTTCACCCCTTCTCTAAAGGTTTTTGGAAGCTCTTCTCCCACCCCACCGCTGGGAATCGCGTCCTCCTTGGAGATCTCTTCTGTGGCCTGCCTCTCGATAAACATCGCATAATACTGTGGTTTCCGCATCCCTAGCATGATGAAGGCGCTCAGCGATGGAAGCCAAGAAAAACCCAGAAAGAAGCCTAGCTGTTTAGCCAGAAGTTGACAAAACAGGAACTTCTACTCCTTTAACTGGGGCCAGTAATTCTTACAGGTTAGGGAGGCAGCTGAGCGCAAGCTGTCTAAGTCAAGTAAGACTTTAGCTTTAAAAAAAAGAAAAAAGACTTCACCTTGCCGTGTTACTAACTCTTGATAAGTTACTTACTCCATGCCTCAGTTTCCTTACCTGTAAAATGGTCTTAGTGATAGTATCTACTCTGCGGTTGTGAGGAGTAAATAAAATACTGATATAAAATGCTGATAAGGTTCCTGGCACAAAGAATATGCTGGGTACTTGTTAGGATAAAAATGAACAGGTACAGTAGGGCCGGGGATATAGCTCAGTGGCACAGCACCTCCCTGGCAAGCTCAAGGTCCTGAGTTCAATTCCTGGTACTGCCCCCACCAAAAAATAGTAAAAATGAGCAGGTACTTGAACAGATTCACCAGTACAAATACCAGCACAGTACTTGACCCTTCAAGGTCTCTGGCTTTCAACATTTTCTGATTCTTCATTTTTAAAAAAATCTCTTAAACTTTCCTGATTCTCTTCTCACAGTAAAGGTATTCATAGATTATCTGAATCTTAACACCTACTAGAGATCGATTAGATGTCGGATTAGGCATTAGCCAAATATTACAGTCATATTTGATACACTTTTAATGTGGTGTGTTACTCAAAATGGTCATGTAACAGAGAAGAGAAATACGTAGATGGAGGCTGATGTGAGGCGAGGAGGAAAATCTTCAGAATGGGAGGCACATAAAATGTCTTCAAAGAGAAGCAGAGCATGTGGAAGTGATCTCTGGCTTCCCTATGAATCAGTCTGTTCTCATGCAGAAAATGTTCCCTACCTTTAAAGTTGTTCACTGACACTGTGAAGAGTAGAAGTCTTCTGTTGGCTTTAGACTTGTTTGCGGGACCTACAGGTGTCTCTATACAACCCCTGGGGGATAATGCTTCACTTCCAGGTTTTTCCTGTACCACTCCTCACAGGAAACAGGCTGAAATGTGTATTTCCTTTCAGCTGTGAGCTCTTTTGGGATGTTTCTCTTTAAATCTTGCTTGGTTTTTTTCGGTGGGTTTTTTTTGAGACAGGTTCTCACAGTGTAATTCAGGTTGGCCTTGAACTCGCAAATGCTACAACTACAGGTGTGCGCTGCCACTCCTGGCTTCCTTAAATTATTTGGAGTCTCCAAAATAAACTCTTTATCCCTCCACACTTGTAATCAGGAAAAATTTAGGTTTGTGATCCTGTTTTTAGTATATCCACAAAAGATCTTGAATCTTTTCTAGGGAATACAGTTTTTTCTGGGGATCCCCTTTTAGTGTGCCATTCTGTAATTAGCCGTTAGAAACCTGCCACAGATGTGAGCTTTTTTCAAGTGTCCTGTTGCAAAGACCTTGAGGACAAGGGCATAAATTTTCTCCTGTGTGCCTGGCATGAGAGAAGGGCCCAGTGAATGGTCATAAAGCTATTATAGTTATTCCTTAATAACAACAGTCCTAACTTTGCAGCCTGGTGTTTCTGAAGCATTAGTGTGCCTCACAAGTCATCTGGAGATACGACTAAAATGTAGATTCTGATTTCAAGGCTTTGGGCAGATCCTAAAAATCTGCATGACCAACAAGCTATGAGGTAACCTGGATCGCACTTTCAACACACTTTTGAGTTCTAAAATGCTAACCTAAGTCTCTGTATTTCTTTTTTGTTTGCTTAAAGATTTTTTTGAGACTGTCTCTCTATGTAGCTAAGGCTGGCCTCGAGCTTATGGTGACCCTCATTCCTCAGCCTCCCAAGTGCTGGAATTACAGGTGTGCACCCCCATGCCTGGCTACTTAAAGATATTGATTGGTTTTATTTTGCAACTTTAGAATCAGACAACAAACACTTCATTCCATCAAATAAAATTAGTATTCCATGTGACCCAGGTACAGCTCCCTGTGATAGTAGGAGCAACTTGTATTACTGGAAAGTTATTTTTCTGCTTTGCTCTTTGGAGAAAAAAAAAATGTTGATTAAGGTGTTCAGACCTCCGCATCCTTGCTCTCTGAGCGTCAGAGAGCTTGGAGTTGAGAGGGGAGGTGGCTGGGAGCTCAGCCAAGCTCCTTGTACATGTGGCCTTTGCATGTCCTTAAAGCTATCTGCAGACCTCTGCAGTAAGTGAAGATCAGTCTTGAGGCAAGGCTGTTTGGGGTTTAGTCAGTCTGCGGACCAGTGAGCCAGTTCTCAGGCTCCATTCACAACCCTGGGGGCTCCTGCTGTTGTGTGAAGCCAAGGAGAACTTAGAGAAGCAGCCCAGCGGGGGAAAGAAGGGGCTGCTTGAGGCCGGCCGCCGTGTCACAGGAGATGTGCTCAGCCCTCTGGAGCTTTGAGCCTGTTCTTCATTTTCAGTGTGCTTTGCTTTCACCTGCCGAGGAGGATCGCCTGCTCCTCAGGGAAGGACAGCATCTCTGGAGGACTGAGGCCTCAGGTGGCTTCCTACAACAGGAAAAGAACAGGGGTCGGGGGAGCACTTGCTCTTGGCCACTGACTTCAGTGTCAGACCTGCAGCCACCAAGGCAGCCCTCAGTCCTCTTTGGGATCTGTCCCCTTCATCAGCATCCTCAGTGTGTGTCTTTACCTTCTTCCATGTGGCCAACTAACTGGATTGGCCACTGCCTTGCTGCTCCCTTCTCCCATACATCTAGTGCCCGGACGCCTGCAGCCCCCTGCCCTGATAGGTCCTGCCGCTCCCTGTGGAGGAGCAGCAGTGCACAGAGCCACTTTGTCTGGCTCACTGGCCACGTTCTGCTGGTGTGTGTTCATGCATTTATCTCCATACCTGTGACTCAGGAGAACAAGATCCACAGTTTGGAGCAGCTGTCCCTGGAGCAACACCCAGCCTCATGGTGCCATCACAGGTAGCTCTCTCTGGGCTCAGGGACAGGATGGCCCTTGCCAGAAAGGAACTTTTAGGGCACAGTTGGAGTGAATAATCTTGTTCCAAAGGGAGCTCATGATTTAAAGAATCCCAGGGAGCCAGGTGTGGTGACACAAACCTGTAGTCCTAGCACTTGGACGCTGAGGCAGAAGCATTGCAAGTTCACAGCCAACTTGGGGGAACATAGTGAGTTAAAGACCAACATAGTGAGATCCTGTCTCAAAAAGAAAAAGAATCCCAGGGAAAGTTCTTTTTTGTTCAGAGAACTGTTTCCTGTGATCATTCCTTTGAATTAGTCAAGAGCAAACCACTACCCTTCTCCACAATTCCTAGTCCTCCTCGATCCTGAACAGGAGTGGGAGGAAGCCCCAGTTGCTAGTGTGGTAGGACTGCCCCAGGGTGATACGGCAGATCCCAGGAAGGGCAGATGCCCAGTCTTTCAGAGTTAGTGTTACCACATGCATGGTGCTGGATATATTTTTCAGTGTAGGGCAAGAATAAGCCACACCTACATCACTCCTATTTATATCTGGTGAGCAGAGTGCCTTTGTCAGTCTTGGAAGCTAATGAAAGATTTTTTTGTCTTCTTTTTGTGGTGCTGGGGGTGGGATCCAGGGCCTCATGCTTGCTAGGAAAGCACTGTGCTACTGAATTACATCCCAGCCCTACTAACAGAAGATGGTGAAGTCCAGCTGGTCCCTAGAATATCCTGAAACTCACGTGTCTGTCTGCTTGTCTGGACAAGGGGAGGGCAGTAGTGGTATGTACAGACCTTTCTTAGAGGGGAAGATGGGGTGCACTGTTCATTGTCTGTGCTCTGATTCCAACTCCCTGGCATTCCCTTGGAGGGAAGGAGACTACTTAGGGCCTGTCCTCGTCATGGAGTTGCTCACATCCGGAGCACTGGCGGAGGTGTGGCCTGAGGAGGTGAAGGCCCAACGTTCATAGGGGCCCAGTGCTGGTCTGTGTAGCAGACTGCTTTGAGAGAGGCGTGCTCTCATAGGAAGGGTCCACGCAGAACCCCCACCCCTGCTGCCAAAGGGATAGAACAATGGTGTATAAGATCTAGAATCTATAGAAGTGAGGACCAGACTTTGATGCAGTATACAACACTCCACCTCACACACCCTGAAAATGCTGACAGGGTTGACCGTAGGAGCCCAGAATGTGCATTAACCATAGCACTGGCTTTCTTCAGCACATGTTTTAAGTCTGTGCAAGTTATTACTTCAGGGACTTAGAAGTACTGTACCATTTCCATGAAAATTGCTGAATTTCAGATGTTCTTACCTGGTTGCTGAGGGCCCTCTGGCCAGTTAATCTAGTGTAGGTTTGTGATATTGTGAGTTACTTAGGAATATCTCCTGGACAGTTTATAATAGCTGTAGTAGTTCTGCACACCCTCCTGTCCGGGATACATTGATACCTTCTTTTTTTGGATAACAAGGTCCAGAGGAGACAAAAATGCATTGTGTAAACAAAATGCACTCAGGAGGCTGAGAGAGGAGGATCATCATGAGTTTGAGGCCAGCTTGGGCTACATAGTGAGTTCAAGGCTAGCTTGTACTACATAGTGAGACCATGTCTCAAAAAAAAAGTGTTTGTACCCACCTTGCTGCAGTCACCTTGTGTTTCAGTATCCTGTCTTAACACCACAGCTATGAGGATGTAAAGGAGCTCTGGCATGGGGTTTTTAGGCATGGAGCAAAAGGTAGTGATAGGGTTTTGTAGGCTAGGTTCAGTGTTCACCCTAATTTCTCCAGGTCATGGCTTGGGAGAACATAACTGACCCACAAGTCTTTATGTGCAGTTTCTTTCTTTTCTCTTCTCTTCTCTTTCTCTCTTTTTTCTTTTGTACCAGGAATTGAACTCAGGACGTCACGCTTGCCAGGTAGGCACTGTGCCACTGAGCTGTATCCCTGGCCCCTGTGTGCAGTTTCTTTTTTTTTTTTTTTCTTTTTCTGGTACTGGGAATCAAACTCACAACCTTGCGCTTGCCAGGCAGGTGCTGTGCCACTGAGCTAAATCCCCAGCCCCTGTGTGTAGTTTCTAAAAAGGCCACAAGGTGAAGATGTGGCTCTGTGAAAATCTGTTTCTCTGCAGGGGTTTGGTCCCTGTGCTGTTTGTCCCTCCACTCACTGGTCTTCTTCCTCCTCTGTGTTGTGGGCTTTTCTCTTTTGTCACTTGTTCCATGGTTGGTTCACAAAGGGCTTGGATTCTGGAGTCAGACAGGCCAGGACTGGAGCCCCAACCTGTGGTTTCCTCTGTAAAGTGAGGATAAGAGCCCCTGCCTCCCATTGGATGCTGCCACTTGCACGTACTGGCGGCACGCAACCAATACCACCTAAGGGCCATGAGCAGCATGTGTCCCAGAGCTTCACCTCAGCAGTTCTGCTTCTGGTTCAGTGTCCATACACATGATGTGGTATTCATCACATTGTTTGTACTAGTGAAAGATAGAAAATAACCTGAACCCAAATAAGCATTCCTAAAAGGACTGGTAAAACAAAGTAGAGTGCATCCTACATCACCGGACCGCAATAAGAAAGAGGGTGCTTCCTGTGCTAAGTCACTGCTAAGTAATGGTTTCCAGGTTATTTTGTTTAAGAAAAATAAGAGAAGGATAGCCGGGCATGGTGGTGCACACCTATAATCCCAGCACTCAGGATGCTAAGGCAGGAGGTTCGCTGTGAGTTCAAGTCTAGCCTGAACTACCTAGTGAGACCCTGTTAACAAGAATTCTGTCAAAGCCCTAGTGACGTTAATGGCAATAGCTGACACTTAGTATATATATCATGCCAGGCACTGTTGTGAATGCTCTGAATACACTGGCTCATTTAGTGCGGGAAAAGGGGAAAGAGCAGGAGCAGACTTAAATCTATAGCATACTGTATTTTCATGTTTGAGCCATATATTGCTTACCAAAAGTTGTTTTCCTGCCTAACTCCTCAATCTGGTGGTTGTGAGAATTGAGTGAAAGTGCACAGGAAGTGCATGCTCTTCTCCCTGTCACCTCTGAAGTGGGCTGGAGCCTCGTGTGTCCAGGCAGCACAGGGCAGAACTGTTTTCCAGCACAAAGCAGTGTCAGGAGTGTCAGTAGTATGTGCAGTGCCTACCCAGCTTGCATTTCCTGGCACACAGAGGAGGCAGAGTGAGCCCCTTGGCAGCTCTCCTGGTGCCACCAGCATGCCTCTCCCATGCTTCACCTCCATCTCTAGGGAAACAAAGCTATTTCTGTCCAGGTTTGAGCTTTGAGGTTTGCCCAGCTGCACTGCAGGTGGCTGCTGACATCCTGAGCTCACAGTTCCCTCACCTTCCCTTGTAAGCCCTCCTGGAGTGGCCCTGCTTCTCAAATGCCCAGCAGGAGCCCTGGCTGGCCAAGAGTGGTCTCCCTCTGTTCTGGTACTCTTCTATTTACAGACCCCGCTCCAGTTCTTCCCTTTCTTGCCGAGTGCTCACCCTCTGCCCCCTGCCCTGCCTGCCCCAGTCTCTGTCCCTTTCTCAAGGGTGAACGCAGCTTGTAGGGCCACTTCCACTTCCACAGTTACCTACCTGCCTGGCCTTCCATGTGGCTGCCTAGGCTGGCACAAACTACACTTGCCAAAGGAGGGTAGCTGACCTCTCATTGCACACTGGCCACCCTTGACCAAGACACCCACCTGGGCCCACTGCCTGTGGGTGGTTCTATGCCCTTAGAGGGTCCTACACGTCCACCAGGTGGAGGCACGCATCATGGAAAGGGTGCACCCTTCCTGGGCCCAGGGGTGGCCCGACATGCCCTGACTTGCTGTCCTCCAGGAGAGAGAGAACCAGGCCCAACCCGCTTGCCAAAGGACCACTGTGACAGCAGAACCACTGCAGGATTGTGTGGGGAGGGCCCAGCTGGCTCCTACCCAGTGAGGAGGAAGGTCAGGCCTCTTCCCTTGGACAGCAGGCAGGCAAAAAAGGTGACTAGGCAGGATTCAAGCCTTTGCTGTGATTCACACTGGCAAAGGCAAGCACTGAGACCAGCGCGCCTGCCCTGCTTGCCATTTTACCTCACTGCCCTTGTCATCATCCACAGTAATCGGGCGAAGACTGTTTTCTCATTACCACGAGTTTGGTAATGTGCAGGGATGCCTACCCCTCTAGGCCTGCATTGTGTCATGTCAGGAACTGCACAGGGGGACGCTAATCAGAGACAAGAATAGCCCAAGGAGGTCATGATCTGTATTCTTGAGATTCACAGAACTGGAAAGCATCTCTTGATAGGCACTTAGGATCAGATGTGTCATCCGGCCACAGACTCCATCTGAGAAAAAGCACCCACTAGTTTGCCATCACCATCTCCTATATGAACCTCCCAGAAAGACGCCCTTTAGGATGAGGAGGTTTGTCTTCCTGTCAGCAATTTATAGTAATAAAAGTGCTTTCTGTACCACTGCCTTGCAGCTCAGGCCAGCCAAGCCTGTGCACAGTAATACCTATGATGCCTGTCTGGGTGCCTGCTGTTGGGGATGGTACCAGCCCCCAGAAGACTAGAGGACAAAATTTTGTGCATCTTTTTGCATCCCCTTTGGAAAAGTTCAGGGCAGAAGAAAAGTTTGACCTTCCTCCCTTGAGGAAGTATAGTCACCATTTGTTATGTTTTCCTTTGACCAAGAAAAAAAGTTGCCTTACTTATTAAAAACCAAGGTTTCCTGGATACTAACGTAGAGAACCTGTATTTTTCTCTCCCTTTTCCCTCCCCCTGTTTTATAGGGAGCTGGAAGGATTCAGGGGAGCCCTAACCTAGGTACGGCCCAATGGCCCTGGGTGAAGAAAAGGCAGAGCTGGAAGCACATGTGGACACGAAGGCCCAGCCCTGCAGGAGCTGGCACCTTGAGGAGCAAGAAGGGATGGCCCAGGGCCCTGAGGCAGGGCAGCCACCTTACCAGGAAGCTGAGGGAGGGCCTGCCTCTCCTGTGTGCAGGACAAAGGGGCTACCTGCCTTTACCTGCTGGGCTGGGGCTAACCCTAGCAGCACCTCTGGAATTCATCTGCCACAGGCTAGTGTGGCCAACAGAGCCGCGGAAGCTGATGGGGGTAGGCCTGCCCTCGGTGGCCTGCTTCCTCCTGCCATTACAGGGATTGGAGACCTTTCTCTAGGAAGCCAGGTGAGTACTAAAGCAAGTGGATCTGTGGTTTGAGCCAGTGCTGTCCTTTGGGAGTACATGCCAGCATTACCAGCGTCTTACATCTTTCCCTAGCTGCCGTGGTTGGGGGAGTTGGGGAAGCTGGAGTATGAAGTGGGACTCATGGGGAAGGCTGCAGTTAGTACCTGCAGATCTGCCTGGTTCCAAACCCCATCGCTTAACCATTCTGATTTTCTGCCTCCCTGAAGTGGGAGGAGTTCTTTAAACCAATTCAAAATGAAGAAGCTCAGATGAGTGACTCATTCTGCCAGTGTTCAGCTATCACTGGCATTCGAGCTCAGCAGGCTGCAGCCTGGTGGGGCCTGCTGAGCTTGGATCTCTTATCAGTGATGGTGATTGAGGCTTTCAGTCTGCCCAGGGCACACTGCCCAAAGAGTGTGCAGTGTTTTCCAGCTTCCTCATGATAAACTGTCTCAGTTCTGCTTGCTCACAAACAGTACCGTGGAGGAAGAACTTTTGAAAGGACCATGGATAGGGATCATCTAGGGAAAGACTTCCACATGGAGGCTGTTTTGGAGCTGCATTAGCAGCACCCGCTCATTTGCTTGGTGGTGGTGGTGGTTTCGGGGGTGTTTTTGTTTTTGTTTTTGAGACAGGATTTCACTGTATAGTTCAGGCTGGCCTTGAACTCACCATGTCATCCAAGCCCATCTTGAATTTGGAATAGTCTTCCTGCCTCAGCCTCCCAAGTACTGGGATTACAGGCTCCTTTGTCTGATTTTTGTCTTAGGTTGTGGGATTTTCATTTTGAGATCTTCCCTGAATATCATGGGGGTCCACAGCAAAACTCTGGGTTTTCATTTGAGAAGAAAGTAGGTTTGGTTATTTACACTGGAGTACCTTTTCTTCCCTCTTATTGCAGATGGAGGAGACGAAGCTTTCTGCCTCCCAAGGGCTACCTCAAACTGTTAACATGCCCAGAACTGCAGCCCTTTGCTCAGGACACGACGCTGATACTGAAGGTGACCCATCCCCAGTTGATTCACCCCAGTTGCTGGGCCTGAACCAGCAGCCTCACATCTCAGGTGTCTCTTTCCCGTCACAGCGGAAGTCCATAGTGAGCCTAGGTGCCACTGCTCCTCGGCTGTCCAGCAGCAGTGTCTCTGCCTCCTCTATTGGTAGCAGTCTCCAGGCTTACCAAGAGAAGGCAGTGCCTCAGAGTGGCTCCTTTGCCAAGGTCTCGTCCTCCCTGGAGCTGGCGGTCTCCCAGCATCCCCTCACTGCTGGGGTGGCAGGGCCTCGGCTCCAGTGGTCATCGCAGCCTACAGCCTCTGGCGGTGATACTGCTGGTCTGGGCAGGAGGCGCCTCTCCTTCCAGACTGAATATTGGGCCTGTGTGCTGCCAGATTCCCTGCCTCCTTCTCCCGACCGCCACTCCCCACTCTGGAACCCAAATAAAGAGTACGAAGACCTGCTTGACTATACCTACCCGCTGAGGCCTGGGCCCCGGCCCCCAAAGCAACTTGACAGCCGCACGGTGGCTGAGCCTGTCCTGCAGGACTCTGGTGTAGACCTGGACAGCTTCTCTGTCTCCCCCACAAGCACTCTCAAGTCACCAATCAATGTCGCCTCCAATTGCCCACTAGCAGAGGCCCCCACCTTACCATTTTGTGGGCCCAGAGAACCAAGCCTTAAGCAGTGGCCCTCTGGAGTACCCCAGAAGCAGGGAATACCTTGGAGCCAGCTTTCATCCACGCCTAAGGCCCCAGGCCGTGGGGATGCCCCTTGGAAGGGTGGGGAGACAGCCCTGCGGGGCACAAAGGATTGGCTACCTGTGGGCAAGCAGCTCAAGCTGGGCTTTCCCCAAGTGAGGACAAGAGACAGAGAATGGTTCTCACCCAGGCCGGAGAGGGAGAAGAGGGCCAGCCAGGGTGTCCTGCGCCCTGCCGGAGTGGAGTCTGGATGGAAATCAGAAGATGAGGTGGAAAGTGACGATGAGTATCTTGCCCTGCCCACTCGGCTGACACAGGTTTCTAGTTTGGTTTCATATCTAGGCACCATGCCCACATTAGTGACTCTGCCCACTGGGGCTGCTGAGGGACAGAGCTCTTCAGAAGTGTCGGACAGTAACGGGCCAGCTTCCCTCCCATCAGGTTCCAGCCAAAGCCAGCTTCCTTCTGGGGCTGCCCTCCACAGGTCTGGGGCCCTCGAAGGCCAGAACCTGCACAACTTCATGTGTGCCCAGAATTCTGCAGAAGACAGTCTGGTGAGCAGCCAGGCCCTGAAGGTCTCCTCTGGACTACTGAAGTCATGCCCCGCCTTGCCAACTGTGTTGGACAAGTGGCCCTCCTCAGATCTAGATGCTGAAGGGCATCCTCTCAGGAAAGCAGAAGGACAGAGGGAAGCCTCCTTGGTCCAGTGTGTGCAGGTAATGACAGTCCGTGTGGACAGGCTTTGTCTTGTCCCTCTGTCCTCCACATCACAGTGAAATTCCTTCATGTATCAGGCGCTCCGCTGTACCTTACCTTTCCTTAGTCCTCACAGCTCTTACCAGATAAGTACTGTTCTCCTCTCACTGGAGAAAAAGACAGAAGGACGTTAGGTAATGTGACCACTTCCAGCTAGCCAGGAATCAGAGCCAGGCACTGTCTGCAGAGCCTGGGCTCTTAACCATCCCTGGCTGCTGGCCACCTCAGAGAAGTTCTGCACAGAAAGGGTTTCATGCGCACACATCTTTGGGTAACACCGGGCTTTACAAAGTCAGTGGCTATCTTGACCACAAGACTTCTCAGAGCTTCATTTGCCAGAGTACCTGGAAAGGTAGGGGTATCGGATGTCACTTCTTTGTCACTGCACCTTTTGTGGGGCACCTACCTATTAGTATCTGGAGGTGTAAATTTTTTTTTTTTTTTTTTTAGAGGAGATCTCACTATGCAGTTCAGGCTGGCCTTGAGCTTACTTTGTAGCCTAGGCTGGTCTCAATCTTGCAACGATCCTCCTGCCTCAGCCTCCCGAGTGCTGGGATTACACGTGTGCGCCCCCACATGTGGCTCAGGAGATGTAATTATGAATGGCATAGGGTTGTCAAGACCAAGCAGATCTGAATTTGAATCATACCACTGCCTCCTCCAGAATTTTTCCGTGAGTGCTAGTTTATAAAATGTGGATTGAAGCTGGGCATGGTGGCGCACACCTATAATCCCAGCCCTCTGGAGGCTGAGGCAGGAGGATTGCCACAAGTTTGAAGCCAGCCTGGGCTACATAGTGAGTTCAAGGGCAGCCTGAACTATGCAGCAGGACCCTGTCTCAAAAAAACAAAAAATGTGGATCACTGCCTCTTAAGGATATTGTGGGAATTAAGTAATTCCAGCCAAAGTCTCACTCAGTGCTTTGACATAGCATGAAGGTTCAGGAGGTGGCCTTTTCCCACTCTTCAAGCAGCCCATTGTCCTGAGTGGCAGGCGTGAGTGTGCACTCTGCATCCATGCTGCAGCGAGGACACTGCAGGATAGCAGGTCCCCTGCCAGCCCCTAAGCCCACACCACCAACATGCCCTGGCAGTCCAGTTCACCCGCCCACAAGTCACGAGGGTTATCTATCCTGTGGAGCAGGTAGGATCCATGTTACCATGTACCCTTCTTTGTGATAAAAGATTGATATACCATGAGCTAGAGTTGTTACCAGCTGTGGCTTCAGGTTAGTCACTGTTTAGCTACTTGCTTTGCCTTCTCATCTCCCCACAGAAGCAGTTCCTGGTAATAGTGTTGATCAAGAACTGTGTCTGCAGACCTGCTCTTCCGCACTTCCTCTCCCTTTCCTTTCACAGCTGCACTCCAACCTGCACGGCTGGTTTTCTCAGCTTGTCATTTTTGCGGTCATCTCTGGCTGAGCGCAGGGAGAACAAGTGGGACTTCTTGTTTCCCTGGCAGAAGGAGGTCCAGCCCTCCTGGAAGCGGGTGAGGCAGGAAAGGGAAACCCATGCTGAGGGGAGGCTCTGGAAAGGTACACAGTTGCTCTCCCAGAGTCATCTGATATTTTTAGCCATTGGATAATGTAACAGCAATTCTGCCAGTAATGCTGTGTATTCTTTCGTTTGTCTCTGCAGATGTTTTGCTGTCAACTGGAAGAGCTGATCCACTGGCTGTATAATGTCACAGATGTCACTGACCTTGGGACTCCTCCCTGGTCCAGTCTCACAGGTCTCAAGTCTTCTCTGCAGCTTTACCGGGTAACGTGTGCTCCTGGCTTCTGGTGGTTCACTCACAAGAGTGATGGAAAAATTACTTAACAAAATAACTGATGCCTGATATGCTGTAGCTCAGTTGCCTGTTTTTCCAGAAATCTTTTTCAAATTCTTTTTTTTGAAGGGGTGGTTTGAGATAGGCTCTTGCTGTGTAGCCGAGGCTGGCTTTGGACTCACAGTGATCCTCCTGCCTTAGCCTCCCGAGTGCTGGAATTACTCCACACCTGGCTAGATTTATTTGGAATCAGAACAAACTTTAGGGTCCGCGTATGGTGGTGCATGCCTGTACTCTAATCTCTTTGGGAGGCTGAGGCAGGATCATAAGCTGGAGGCTAGCGTGAGCAATTTAGCAGGATGTGTGAGAAGTGGGTGGTAATGTAGTTCAGTGCTTCCTGCATTCAGTCCACAGTGCCACAAAAAAAGAAGGCTGAAGGCTGCAGCTCACCTAACCTGCCCATAAGCCCTAAGTTGTGGCTACTAGATCGCTAGTACCACCCCGAAAAAATTTAAGAAAAAAGTTTTAGGGTGATTTGCATTGTAATTTCCCAGATGTCACAGGTATTTATAGACATGTAAAACCACTATTCAAATATAGCTGTTTAAATGAAAGGTTTAGATTTTATAAGTTGCCACTAGCTACACTCCAAGTGCTCAGTTGCTGCATCTGTCAAGTGGCCACCACACTAAACAGTATAGGTACAGAACCCTTCATCACAGAAATTTCTGTTGGATATGCCAATATTTAACGATCTCAGCGGAAACTGCCCTGACTCCAGAATTGCACAGGGTGTTTCGATAGAGCAACTGTAAACAAAATGTTTATGCTCAAGTTGGAATTTTGATTTATTTTTCATCTTTTCATTAGTGTCCTGTTACTTTAAAAATACCTCTTTGTGAGGTATTTCTCAACATGCTTGTGTATTAAGTTTATCGGAAGATAAATCATACAGTTGTTTTTCCTAAACATACAGTTAACCTCGGCCTGTTGCCAGCATGTCAGCCTGGCCAAGCCTTCAGGAAGGACCGTGTGGTTTGAGCTTGATGCTAGTCTAGAAGGGCTTCTTCGGGCTTCTCACTCAGCCCTATCTTCAGCAGAAGACGTTCTGTGTATCTGAGCCAGGGCTGCACCAGCCTGTGCTTAGCTGCTTCCAGTCCACTCAACCACACCCCAGCTGGAGGAAGGGCCTGTTTTCCATTTTGGAGCCCACTGAAAGCCCGCCTGAGCTTGGGCGGGGCGGTCAAACTGCTCCACCCTACAGGGAATGCTGTTTGCTGCTGTGTGGAGAGAGGTTGCCATGAGCTCCTCAGCCAGAGTGAGCACAGGAGAGAAGGACTGAGCCCAAGAATCCTGTGTGTGCAGACCCTGGTGTGCACGTGTACACACATATCTGTGCAGGTCCCGCACCCCAGCTCCAGGGCCAGCACCTCTGTTAGGAGAGGAGTCACCCTATTAGACTTACATCAATAGCCTTTGCTCCCCTATGTGAACAGGGACAAATGGACTAACTCGATTCCCGCCATTTGATCCCTGTTACCCTTCTCTGTGTTACCTTCCAGAAGCAGCTATCTTATTTTCTGGGTACAGCCACGATACGAGGCCACAGATGCTCCTGCAGGTCATCAAAGCCTAGGCCTCTGTGTACAAGAGAGACTGCATTGTCAGTCCTTCCCACACAGTAGTGTGTGGTTCATGCTTACAGATGAGCTGTCTTGGCTCCTGCTTATATCAAGACCTAGTGTAAGCTCGTGTCTGTTCACATTTTAACATGTGACTCATCTGTACTTTATTGTAAGATGGTGGGGTTGAAGCAGCATCTAAACTACACGTCGTGTCAGAGAGTAAGTATTGGTATCACAGTAAAGGAAGAGGGTCAGAAAAACTGTAAATCCAACAGGAAAATTAGCACTTCAAAATGTTAACCACCAAGTTTTGGTCATGAGATTGACTTGACACTTTTCAGCAGCTAAAGCTCAAAAACAGCCAGCCACAGGCCTAGGAGCCATGAGGGAAAACAGATGAGCTGCTTAAGAAACCCCCTGCCTCCCTGATGCTGAGGCTGTTCCCGCGGAGGTGTGCGGAGAGAGAGGTCACCAAGACAGATGCAGCGGCTCTCCGGGCTCTCTAATCACAGACTGCTTGTGGTTCTTGTCACGTCCGTTCAGATAGAGTGCAATTGATTCTGGCAATCCCATTAATTCTGTGAGTGAAACAAAACCCCATAATTGAAGCACAAAAAGGAATCTCTGACTCCAAGCTATTCAGGAGTTAGCCTGTGCCTGAGAAGAACTTCTGTCAAACTAAACAGAGAAAACCACTGACTCTGTTTCCCCTGGGCTCAAAGAAGCTGAAGTTAAACTAGTCACTGCTTGAAGTATTTTGCAGACTAGGCCGTCTGTATTTTCCAGCTACCTTGGCAACAACTTTTATAAAACAATAGTAATGCAGCTTTTTTCCCTTTCCTGATACATCTTAAGCAATTTAAGAGAGATATCCACGAGCATCAGTCCTTGACGGAGAGCGTCCTAGAGAAGGGGGAGACGCTTCTTCAGTGCCTGCTGGACAATACCCCAGGTGAGATGCTCGGGAGCTTTTGGCTGTTAGTTTTTATTTTGGACCGACACATAAATGCACAAGTGCGGCAGTTCAGTACATGTGTACCCTGTGTAGTGATCAGATCGAGTAACTTGGGATATTCATGAACTCAGAGATTTATCATTATTTCTATGTTGGGGCCATTCCAAACCTCCTTTACTGGATATTTTGAAATATACAATTAATTATTGTCATTTATAATTACCCTTCTGTGCTACAAAACATAAGAAGTGGGACGAGGATAAAACTCAGTTGCATGCACAAGGTCCTGGGTTTGATCCTTGGCACTACCAAAAAAAAAGTTACTCCTGTCCAACTGCACACCTGTTGATTACTCATTAACCATCTCCCTCTCCATGCTCTTGTGATAGCAACCTTTTAGCTCCCACAGGAGAACATACAGTATGTCTTCTGTGCCTGAGTTATTTCACTGGACATAGTGTTCTTCAGTTCTACCCATGTTGCAAGTGAACTTCTTTTAAGTAATACTCTATTGTGTACCTGTCACATTTTTCAGTCCATTCGTCTATCAGTCAACACCTAGGTTGAAGTCTGTTGCAAATGTCTTTGACATACTGATTTCACTTCCTTTAAATATATACCCAGGCCAGGCATGGTGGCGCACACCTGTAATCCCAGCACTTGGGAGGCTGAGGCAGGAGGATTGTTTCGACTTCAAGACCAGCCTGGGCTACAAAGTGAGCTCAAGGTCAGCCTGAACTGCATAGTGAGACCCTGCCTCAAAAAGACGGAAAAAAAAAAAAAAAAAAAAGAAAAAAAGGATATATATACATATACACATGTGTGTGTATGTATGTGTGTATGTACACACAAACACACACATACATACATACATACATACATACATACCCATACCCAGTAGCGGAACCAGATCATGTGGCAGTTTTATGAGGAATTTCCAGTTTTTCATAATGGCTTTACTAATTTAACTTATACACAGTGTGAATGTTCCCATTTCACTGCAGCTGCACCATCATTGTCTTTAATAATAGCTGTTCTAACTGGAGCAAGATTATGTCTCATTGTGATTTTCATTTGCATTTCCCTCATGATTTTTTTTTTTTCCTTTCTTTCTTTTTTTGGCACCAGGAATCAAACTCAGGACCTCACCCACGCCAGGCAGGCACCGTGCAACTGAGCTACACCCCTGGCCCCACCCTCATGATTTTTTTATATTGAGCATTTTTGGGGGGGTCATTTGTATATCTTCTTCTAAGAAGTACCTATTCAGGTTATTATCCCATTTTTTATTTTTTTGAATTCTTTATATATTCTGGGATTTACTCGCTTGATCAGTGGTTCAGACATTTCCCCTTTCCGTAGGTCGTCTCTCTGCTATGGTTTCCTTGCTGTGCAGATGCTTTCTAGTTTGACGTAACTCTACTTTTCAGTTTCGTTGCACCTGTGCTTTTGGGCTCACAGTCAGAACAAATCCTTGCCCAGACCAGTGTCCTGCAGCATATTTTCTTCTAGCAGTTTCAGTTTCAGGAGTTACATTTAAGTCTTTGATCAATTTTGGATTGGTTTTATGCAAGTTGAGCGATGGAGGTCCAGTTTAAATCTTTTGCATATAGATATCCAATCTTCCCAGCACCATTTATTAAAGACTTTCACTTCTCTGTATGCTCTTGCTCCCTTTGTTTAAAAAAAAAAAAAAGTGTTGGCTCTAGATGTGTGGATTTGTTTCCAGGTCCTCCGTTCTGTTTCATTGGTCTGTATATCTGTTGTACCGGTTTGAGGTTTTGTTACTTAGCCAGTGCTTAATTCCTTCCACAGCAGGCCTAGGGACCTGCACGGTGCTGTTGTAGAGAGCCAGTATGCCAAGAACATACTCCTCCCCACTGCTGTGCACCATGGCCTTAGACTGCCTGGTGATGCTCTGTGGGTTCTTCACATCACCACTGCCCCTGCAGAGCTCTGGTGGGACATTGTTGTCAGAGTAAGCCTAGCAGAAAATTAGCTATCGAGCCTGCAAGAACAGCACTCTTGCTCCTGCTTTTGTTTTCCTGGTGGAGTTCTGGGTGGGAATTCTGGTTTTAACTCAGCAGCCCTTAGTTGTGGCTGGGATATCCTGCAGGCAGCCCTCGTGAGTTTCCTGTCTTGCACAGCTCTGGCTGAATTCTTTGTTTATCTGCTTTGGGCAAGGATTTCTTTCAGGGAAATACTGTGTTGATCAAAAGGACTTGAAAAGTCTATTCTCAGGGAACAGAATAAAGTCCACTGACAAGGGGGAGCAGGGTAGTTGTGGCTTGCAAGTTCAATTCCCTTTTGCAGGATGGATTCCCAATTTAGGAAATTGTGAAAAACACATTAAAGAGTACTTCTTGGGGTGTCTGATACCAAGAATGGATGGTCTTCCTTCTCCATGGAGGGAGCTGTCATGAAGATCAGTGAGAGTGCTAGGTTGAAGAGTGAACTGATAACCCCCCCAAAAGCATCCCCTAGTTTCCTGTGAGACTACAAGTGAGGGTTTAAGGAGCCCATCTGTGTTGTGCCTCAGTTGCAGGGTGCAGTGGGATTCACCCTGGCATCCTAGCACAGGTGTAGCTGAGCAGGCCCCGGGACTTGAGTGGCAGTGAGGGGTACGCTACCTGCTGCCTAACAGTGGTGGGCAGGCGCATACCCAGGAGGGGCAGCGAGCGCTTGCACCACGGCTCCAAGGGCCTCCAGTGTTCTTTGCAGGGAAGTTTCCTGTGCATTACAGAATGGTTAGCACCCCAGCTGGATCCAGTCACCCTCCCACCTTGAAGTTACAACAACCCTACCCATGTCTAGACCATTCCCCTTGGGTTCTGAGAACATGTGTGAATAGGCAGAGGCATGTTGACAGACGGTGACCACTGAAGGGTTTTCAGCAGAAAAGCGACTTCACTATGAATTGTGTGAGCCCTTTGCCATCCTCGGTCCTCTTTTTTAAAGAGCTGTGTTTTGGTTCTTCCCATGTTCACTGGCACTAGGATTTTTAGGTTTACATTTGGGCAGAAACTCAGTATGCCAGCTCCTTTGCTGCTTATAATTACATTTTACTAAACCCTTAGCATGGGCTGAAGTAATTGGCATTATCATTTTTTTCATTTAGTCTCAGCTCTGCAAGATACTCTTTTTGTTGTTGTTGTATGGTTTTTTCTTTTTGTCCTTTTTGAGGCGGGGTCTCACTTCGCAGGTCAGCCTGGCCTTGACCTCACTTTATAGCCCAGGTTGGTCTTGAACTCACAAGATCCTCGTGCCTCAGCTTCCCAAGTGTGCCACCACGCCCAGACAGATACTATTATTATTCTTACCGTACGGTTGTGAAAACGCCTCAGGCAGCTGCTATGCAGACTCCAGCTGTCAGACTGGAGGTGCAGGACCCTGAGCAGGAAGGAAGGGAGAGCACTCAAATACAGGAACTCCCTCTCTTCATGTAAAAAGTAGGTCTCTTCAGAGTTACCATTTGACCTTCGCTGGAAAGTCAGTTCACAGTTTTCAGTGCCTATCCTACAAGATGTAGAGGGCTGTAACAGAACAGCCCACTTTGCCCTGCTCTCACAGGTGACGTGGGGTAGTGTGGAGGTTGCTTCAGTTTTCTCTCGTTCTCAGATAACGTATGTGGGCTCTTTCAGATCAATACACTGCCTCTTCCGTTGTGTCTAAAATAATCAGAACACTTGGGGTTTTTGTCTTGACATGTCACACTTTCTTCCTCAGATTAGTGGAGCTAGCACATACACTCCCCTGAGAGCACTTTTTACTTGGCTACAAGAAAAGGACCAAGAGGTCCTGTTTCAGCCTCCTGATAGAAGCCTCCATATTTTTTCACTTCAGTTTTACTCAGCGAAGTGCAGCTGACAGTTCTCTCCCACCCGCCCCCAGTTCCTTATTCTAATGGGTTAAAGACTGGTGTCACTGAGCCAAATGAGATCCTATATATTGTACTCAAAACACAAAAGTAATTGGGTGCGGTGGCTCACACCTGTAATCCTAGCACTGAGGGGACGCTGGGAAGGAGGATCACAAATTCAGGCCCTGCCTATGCAGCTTTGAGAGACCCTGTGTCAAAAAATAAGGGCTAACAATGCAGTTTAGTGATACAGTTGCCCTCTGTACTGAAGTGGGGAGAAAACATCCGAGTAGCACTGGGAAGGATTTCTATTTCATTCCCCTTCCCAGCTTCTCTTTTCTTTGGCCCCTGTCCTCTAAAACTTCAAAGAGAATTCCTGATTTCCATTGGCAACACACAAGGATGACCAGAAGTCAGATGCAGCGCACAGGCTGCCACCCTTACAGCCAGGTGTCACCTAGCCGTCCTCCCCCGCCAGAAAAGAGTTGTAAGGACAGCACTTTGCCCTGGTGATAAGGTACTGAGGTGGCCTCCCCAGAGGCTGATGCCAATATAGCCAGCCGTGTTCCTCCTGCCGGTCTAGTCAGCACTGTCTACAGATACACAGCTTCCTCCCCCTCCCCTGCTGGTACACGCTGCAGCTGTGGCAGGAAACTAGGGCGCTTATTAGCACAGCTGATAAAGGCACCGGAAGCTAGGGCAGTCTTTGTGTTAACAAAAGAAATAATTTTTTAAAGGAAAAAAAAAAACGCTGCTGTGTGAGATCCACTCTGACCTCAGCCCATCCCTTCCTCACATGAACATTCCAACACCACAGGCGTGAAGCTTGGCCTTGCTAACAAATCTTTTAAGTCTGTTTACTTAGGACCCACAAGAGTTCACAAGCATTCATTCCCCAATATATTCACAGACCATCTGTGTGAAGTGTCCTCCCAGCCAACAGCAGGGCCAGCAACCTAATCTAGGCATACTGTTTCATTTCATTTTTAAACTTTTAAACTCCAAAAGCATGTGAGTGTGCCCTACCTCACCTCCTCAGTCAGATAATACCAGTCACCAGAAAACCACATGTGCGCACCCTGTTGTAATTATGTTAACTCCAAAGTGGAACCAGGAAATTATCTTAGCTGTAGTGAGACGTTAACAGATTCCCCAGTACAACATAAATCAAGGAGCACTGTTGGGGAAGCGGGGTAGGGGGTTGAACTATTGCCACAGTCTTACTTTGAGAAAAATTGTGTACCTTTATATACTTGTTAGTTTTGAAGGATGTCCTTGGGAGGATCTCGAAGCAGTCTGGTGAACTGGAGAGCCATGCAGATCGGCTTTATGACTCTATCCTAGCCTCTCTGGACATGCTGGCTGGCTGCAGCCTCATCCCTGACAGCAAGCCAGTGTCAGCCATGCAGCCCCCATGTGCAGGGGTTTAACCAGGTAAGGAACCCAAGAAGGAAGTCTGTCCTTCAGCCCCAGTGCTGCTTAAGGCATAGAGTTCCTGGGACAGTTGACTGTCACTTAGATGCATACTGAACATGCTTAAACAAATGAGATGCTGGAGGAAGATCACCGGTGGGACAGAAAAAGGAGTCACTACCATTGCCAGGAAGGTCATGGGTCTTCCTGTGGTGGTGGAGGCTCACCCCTGCTGCCTGCTGAGAATAAGCACCTCTATGCTTCTGTCACCCAAATTTTAACCATGCTTCTTGTCTGCACATACACACTTCTCCAGTGTGATGAGGCTGCCCAGACTGCAGGGTCTTCTTGCACAGTTTATGTAGTGCCCCATGTCCACGCATCTCGGCAGCACTAAGTGCCCACGAAACGCAGTTCCTGCTAATGTGCCCTTCCCATAAAGGCTCTCTGCATGTTTCCTACACCACTCACTTAAAAAAAGCCTAGGAGACACATGAGTGTTAACACACCTTGGAGACTTAGCAAGTAACACGAATTTCTTTTTATCCCTCAAAAAGTCAAACAACCAGGCCTGGTGGCACATGCCTGTAATCCCTGCACTCGGGAGGCTGAGGCAGGCCTATCGTTGCGAGTTCAAGACAGCCTGAGCTACAAAATGAGTGCAAGGCCAGCCTGAACTGCACAGCGAGACCCTGTCTCAAAAGGACAAAAACAAAAAGTCAAACAGAATGATAGGAAAGAGGGGTTGAGAGAGGCACTGCCACTGCCCAACACACAATAATTCCACAGTTCTGCTGTTCTTTTTCTGGAGTTCTATACATGTCTGTAATGCTCAACTCAGATTTCTTAGGTAAGAATTCACTGTAGCAGCCAGATATGGTGGCATATGCTTATAATCCTAGCACAGGGGAGGTGGGGGTTAGGCAGGAGGAGCACAACTTTCTCACAACTTCAAGGCCAGCCTGGGCTGAGACTCTGTCCAAAAATAAAATACTAAGGTAGTTGAAGAGTGCAGAGCTCCTGTATTTTCATTCCAACAATTTAAGTACTCATCTTAGTTTTGAAATGAATGCAAGTGATTGCTGTTTTTTCTTCCTTTGCAACATTTTGCACTTTCTCTTTCAGGCCATCTTCTTCAGGAAAGCTGCAGTCACCAGCCAAAAGTCGTTTGTGGGAAAGAAAAAGTTCTCAAGAAGTCCTGGCAAGAGCCACGTAACAGTTAAATTTAAGGAGGAAACTTTAATGTACTAGCTTTAAAATGCCCTGCTCTTGTGAAAAAGTAAGGGCTGTTGAGTTACTGTTTCTATTTACAATGAACCCTTCCAAACAGAAAGTTTTCCTTTTGGTGCTTCTCTATAAAAAGCATGTGGCTTTGCAGTTTTTGGTAAAATAGTAAGATTTACAGGTCTTGACTTCCCTCTGTTCAGTTAAAAAAAATTGTGGAGAAACCTCCTAAGTCTTCCACCTGTTGGGTCACTGACAGAAGACTGCTTTGAGAAAGAAGCTTCCAAATACAGTATTTGGTATTCTTAGGCATAGAAGGGGATCCATGAAACTGAAAAAAGCAATAGGTTGGCCAGAAACCTTGGGTCTTTTTCAGAAAGGCAGTCTTAGGTTTTACATTTCCTCTTTAAAAAATTTTCAGAAGACTTTAGCCAGAGGTCTGCAGAAGAAAAGCAGTAAAGGAGTAGAACCTCTACAAATTACTGTGGGCACAGGTCATACCTTTGCTGTCTTCCTGGCTGAGGTCTCCACCTTCCTGCCTAGCTGACCCCTTAAAAGATGTGAAGAAGATGGAAAGTTGCTGTGGGGCTTCAGCTTAGTTATGGAACTAATTATTTAGTCAAGCTTAAGGGTGATTCTTGAGGAACTCATCTGTCCCCTCTGCTTTCCCTTGGACTAGTACTGTGTAAGGCCAGGGTAGAGGATGGATAGGGCCATGTAGCATGTGCCTACAGAAACTAAAGCTGGAGGAGTAAAGAATTCTTGGTCGTTGGGGAGCAGCATGTTAAGTACCGTCAAAAGAAAGTGGATCAATCAGTTAAAGGATCAATTCTCAAGTTTTTTGAAGCAAAGCAATCAGTTATTGCTATTAACTGCAGATTCCACCCCCAAAAAGCACTTGATGAAAAGTTCTATTTGGTTGTTGAATAACAAAAGAAAACACAATACATTAACAAGTGTCTAAAGTTCTAGTAAATGTGATTTTTAAGAGAGACACTGGACATAGCTATTAAATTCCAATATTTAAAGACTGGCCTTCGACACATAAAATACAGTATTTCAAGTGCCAGCTGCTATTTAGTAGCATAATGTGGATTTACCATAAATTTAAGGACATACTCAGAATTAGAAGTGTTTTATGATTCTGCCATCTCATAATAATTTTGATTGTATAAACAATGAGAACTTAAAAAGACAAGAAACATCTTCCTGGAAAGTAATTATATGTACACATACATATATACATGTATATTATTTCTTTAAAGCCTAGAATTGGTTAAAAAGGCAGGTATGTATAATGTATTCTTTTTTTTTTTTTTTTTAAGTAAGATTCCCTTTTTTTTATTTTAAATAGTAAAAGGATAACATAATAATAGGGGGGGCTTACCAAATTACAAAGTAGTAGGAAATTATCAATGGTTTGCGTAATGTATTCTTAAAATGATACATTTCACCTCTTTGATGTGGCTATAAACTGGAATATGCCTTTCCGCTGAGTATGCTAGAGCAGCCCTTAGGAATTAAATCCGTCTGACAAGCATGAAAGTGGCATTTTTGATGATGGTAACTTTACGGAAACAAACTGGCTAATATATACCAACTGGAAGGTGGTATTCTTATTCCTGTTCACTGTAATAATCAGCTTCAAATGACAGGAATTCTCAATTACTTTGGACCTACTCCTTTTCCCAAGAAAGTGCTACCTTAGCTAGAGATTTAAGCTACTTTTGTTCATCTTGTTTGAAATAAATATGACTATAAAGAACGCTCTGTGAACGTGGCTGTAAATGCCACAGGAGTATTAACCCCACTGTTAACTACATCTTCAGCTATTCGGAGTTTTGCTTCAACCTAAGAAGGTGCTGCCAGTAGCACTTCCATCAGCAGGTTAGGGTTAAGAAGCCAGGCAGGTTGGCACATTGAGTTGCCATACTACAGTAAAACTTCTTAGTGATTACTTGAAATTAAAGGGATCTGTATGTACAGCGAAGTGGCAAAACTAAAGGCCAGCGATTTTAAGACTGAGTTCTTGTCATAAATACTTGGCTAAGCTCCAGCAAGTACAGCTGTTACAATACAGGGCAGTTTTTAAAACAGTGTGCGAACACACAGAAGGGTTGATGTAAGACACTGTGGAAAGGCAGTATATATGCTAAAAAGCAATTTCTATCCAAGGTCAGAGAACAGGAAGTCAGTGCTCAGACCATTATGGCTGTCCTTCTGTAAGATTTCCCCAAGGTTGCCCCTGCCTTGAACATTCTTCACTATGTAAGCTAAATTATGGCAGCCACTTATATTTAAAACATGACAGGTGATAATTCCCTTTTTATGTGAACTGGTTAGAGGCCATGGCAGCCTTGAAATGTTTATACTTGAAAATGGGGTTAAAAGTGGGATTTTTTTTCAAGAATGGACTTACTGGAATATACGTAAAAGCAAATACTGAAGCATGCTGAAATGTGTGAAGTCCTAATTTTGACTGCCATGAGGAAAAGAACATTAAGATTTTCCAAGCTATGTAAATATGCTCACGTATCCAAATAACTCATGTAATATTTTCTGATAACTTGCCAAGAATAAGCTGACAGAGTAATTTCTGCTGTTTAATTCTAAAACACACAGCATCACATAGTGTAATATTTGTTTTGTATCATTTAGCTACTTTAGAAAAGTTTGAATTCTTTACCCCTTTTATATACTGTATTGATACAGGAAAAAAACTTTAAAGCATTTAAAAAAAAAAAAAACCCAGACAGCTGCCGGTAACTCCAGGAATTTGTCAGTTGCCTTATGTAAGGATGAATAGATCCAACAAGCACGTGTATAATACAAAGTAAACTGTGATTTTATTGTGAAAGTCTCATAGATGGAAAATTAAATTGAGTATTTATTCTGTTCATTTCATTTTACAATGATCTTACCACTTATTTTTGTACCATGTATTTCAATCGCCTGTTTAGTGAAAAATAAAGAAACCTATAATTTTTGGCTTGTTTTTAACTTAAGTTTTTTCATTAAAGAGCCCCCCAAAATGTGTTGCTAACAGCCATATCTCAAGCACCCATGTCAAGAATAGTTTGGCTGTTACTTTACCCTAAGGAAATAAACTCTGACCTCTGCCACTTTTTTGGGGGGGTGGGGTGGTTCTTTTTGAGACAGGGTTTCATTATGCAGTTCAGGCTAGCCTTGAGCTCACTTTGTAGCCCAGGCTGGTCTCCAACTCGCAACGATCCACCTGCCTCAGCCTCCCGAGTGCTGGGATTACAGGTGTGCGCCACCACGCCCGGCCCTCTGCCACTTTAAAATGCCAGTGTCAGCAACAGGTTTTTTGTTTCTCACAATAAAATAAAAACAAACCCCAGGATCCTGACAGTCCTATTTAACAAAATTTTCATACATCCAGGAATTTTGCTGGGCTATTTACCTTTCATTTACCATTCCCACCTAGCATTCATGTTTCAGTTAATTTTCAGGGATATAATGTCTCAAATTGGGGCAGTCACATTTCCTGCCTTATACCATGCTGGGGCCCCCAGGCCCTGCCCCGTGTCAGGCCAGCACTCTACTGCTGAGGTCCATCCCCAGCCCCGATTCCCCGTTTTCTACTTCGATGCATAAACTTCCAACATGAATTCTACCCTTGTGAAATGAAACAGCTGACATCTTGACTCAGAGCATGGAAGAAATATCAGCACACATGACTGCTTGCCAGTTAGGTTATGCACACACTTCTACCACAGATGAATTAATAAAATGCTGACAGTGAAGCCACTTCAAGTGGTTTTAGAGAAAAACCAGATAATATGCTAGAAGTACACATCCTCAACTTGTTTTCAGTACAATTTGACCTCTTTGAATCATTGAAGTTGGTTAAATCCCTAAGCGCACAGGCACCTCCCTACCCTAGGTCTCCTAACAGGTCTGTTAGTGAGAAAGCAAATACTGGTTACTGCCCTATTGGTCTACTATTCCCTGGCTGCACACATAAATGGCTGTTTTAGGTATAACGCAAGCCTCTATTTCCCTTTAACCATAAGAATTAAAACAATACTTATCACCATACAGTTTGATATTACTTCCAATAAGTACAATATTTATTAAACATATCTTCAGTTGTTTTGTTACATAGTGTGCAACAAATTACAATATTCTGCAGCCACAAATTATATGCAGAGTATGAAGAAACTATTAATCAGATAGTGTAATCTTTCCATTTATAACTCTACAGGGAAGAACTAGCAAATCAGATCTTACATATAACATCTCACTAAACTTTATGCATGGAAAGTGACAGACACTGGTTGTGCTGTTTGATACAAAATGGCTGAACTTCATCTTCAGAAGACTAAACCTGACATCTAAACATGCCAATATAAACATCAAAACAAAATATATTCTAACCAACCACGGGAAACAGTCTGGTATCAGGAAAGCAACAAGGATTACACACATTATTTTATAAACCAGCACACAAAGGTTTAAAACAGTTCTGAAAATGAAGTTAGCTGTCTTGAGTCAGGGGAATAAAAAAAAAGTCAGTATTGACCATTTACAATCTCTGACCTTTGTGGAGACGGTAAGAATCTGTTGTAGTGCAGCTACATACAGTACAATTCAGGCAATTTTGTTTTTTCACTTGGGTTCAGATTGCAAATTCATTGCTGTGAGAAAAAGACGGAGGCAAATTTTAGCAGCAGCCTCCACCTGACTGCTTGACTGGAGTGCTCTGAATTTTAACATTGGACTTCTCTGCGCCACCAGCTGTTGCTCCAGGGCCCATTCGTTTTTTAATCTCAGCTGCCATCGTCATGAAAGACTGTTCTACATTCGTTGCATTCTTAGCACTGGTTTCCAAAAATGGAATTCCAAGGGAATCAGCAAATTCCTAAAGGAATAATAAAGCATAATGAACATTGAAAAATCTTTTTCAGTTAGTCCATTTCTACCATCTGAAATGGGAGTGAAAAAGGTCTGAAGCCGAACGACAGTACATGAATTGTCATTGTCAAAGCACTCTAGTATACGTATTTTTAAGTTAAAGTGGTTGTGGCCATCATAGGGTTCCATACCCATTCCAAATTAAAATTCACCTTCAAATTCAGTATGGGAAAAAGAAAAAAAAAAAAAAAAAAAAAAATCAAACTTAGAAACAAATATACCTTTGCTGTTGTGTAGTCTACTACTTTCTTTGTAGTCAGATCACATTTGTTCCCTACCAACAATTTGTTGACATTTTCACTGGCATAACGATCTATTTCCTGCAGCCACTGTTTGACATTATTGAAGGACTCCTAAAAAAACAAGATATTTTTACAAATAATAATACAGTTCTGGACGCAAGTGCTGTGAAGATCAAGTGTTAAGCAGCCAAAGAACCAATGAAGAATGGCTACAAAATTATGCACAACACAAGGAAAGGAGTGACTGATACATTAAATGAGTAATGAACTAGAACTTGATGAAATGTGCAGCATGAAGATGGAAAATGCTGGGGGCTGGGGATTTAGCTCAGTGGCAAAAGCGCCTGCCTGGCAAGTGCAAGGTCGTGAGTTCAGTTCCCGGTACCGGAGAAAAACCAAAAAAAAAAAAAAGGATGGAAAATGCTTTATCTGAAAGGAAAATACAGTTTTGAGGGGTTGTTGTTTTTTTGTTTTTTTTTTTTTGTCTTTTTGAGACAGGGTCTCATTATGCAGTTCAGGCTGGCCTTGAGCTCACTTTGTAGCCCAGGCAGTCTCCAACTCGCAACGATCCACCTGCCTCAGCCTCCTGAGTGCTGGGATTACAGGCATGCGCCACCACGCCTGGCAAGCTTAATATTTTTATTTAGGTTTGGTTTTCTGTGAAACGGTCTCACAGAAAGCTAGGCTGATCTAAAACCTGTGATCCTCCTGCTCTAGCCTCTTAAGTGCTGAGACTACAGGTGTACACCGACCACCAAGCCCAGTGCACTTTTGGCAGCTTTGATAGGAAAATACTAATAACCAGGCAAATTCTTTTTCATGCATAAAAGAACACATTTCCTGCCTAGATGATCAGTTATTTAATTGATGATGATGATAACTAGAATCCCTTGATCAATTAAATGTAACCCATTATTAAATTTTCTGTTTACTAAAGGAAAATGCCTTTTATGTGATTCACAGTTGTATTTGTAGTAGACAAAGTTTTCTGTCATAAAAATAATACTGATGGTTTATGAAAGTAAAAATCCCAGGACTCTGGAGATTGAGGCAGAGTGGCAAGTAGGAGCCCAGCCTGAATGACTCAATAAAACCCTCCCTCAGGGGGCTGGGGATTTAGCTCAGCGGCAAAAGCGCCTGCCTGGCAAGCGCAAGGTCGTGAGTTCCGTTCCTGGTACCGGAGGAAAAAAAAAAAAAAAACCCTCCCTCAAAATAAAAATGGCTAGGGATGTAGCTCAGTGCTAATGCCCTGGGTTTGATCCTCAGTACTAGAAGGAAGGGGCAGGGAGCAGAGAATGAATCTGACATTTATCAAAGAGTGACTTCTCTGTCACTAACAATCCTCTCTTGGAACTTACCTGATCTGTCACATCATACACAACTATGATGCCATGAGCGCCTCTGTAATAACTGGAGGTGATTGTTCGAAACCTTTCTTGGCCTGCTGTGTCCCACTATTGCAAAACAATCAAGAAAACCAAACAATTCCATTAAACTAGAGTTGGAGGAAAGTGCAAAAGAAAAACAGTTTAGTTTTCATAGTTGCGGAGATTACCAAGATTTGATACAGAAATGGCCCTTAATGCTCACAATACTGAACTGCGCCAAGTGTCAAATACCTAAAAGTTAAAAAAAAAAAGCTAATGCCTACTTAATATTTATTTATTTATATACTTAGATCTTTTTGAGACAAGGTCTTGCTATGCAGTTCAGGCTGGCATTGAGTTTACTTTGTAGCTTAGGCTGGTCTTGAACTCACAATGATCCTCCTGCCTCAGCCTCCCAAGTGCTGGGATTACAGGTGTGCGCCACCACCCCCGGCTGTACTTAATATTTAGCTGGTGGTAAAGATCCCAAAATTATAAGCTCTTCTGAGAACATAACTACGCCATGCTTTTCATATTCCCAACCTACAGCTTTTAACAGTATGAATACAGAAACAGGCCATCTTGGTTAGGAAAGTGACTAGACCCACAGCTCCATGAACAGAGTGTGGTCTCACACAAAACGCTGGCTAGTACATTTCAAATCTTGGAAAACAATGAAAGGATCTAAATCAGGTAGTAACCAGTTAAGATAGCACTTTAACTACCTCCTCAAGTGGGTATTATCTTAATCCTAGGGAAAATAACAGAAGGAGGATATTTCAAACCTTTCTGAAACTTATTTTAACAACTTACCACACTTCAGCCTTTGGGCTCTAACACCCAAAACACGTGCTCCCAGTAGTACATGTTATGGATGGGATCCAATGCCCTCCCTAGAGGCTCATGCTTACCAAGCACCGTCACTCATGGGCTTTTTCAAAGTGACTAGATCACAAGGTTTTAACTCAATGGATTATGAGATCATACTTTGATGGAATTATTGGGAGGTAACGAAAACAGACTGGATGGTAGGGAAATGACCATGGAGGCTGTATCTAGTGCCTAGCCCCTTCCTTTTAGGCTCTTTAACCCTCTCCACTCCCTTGTTGCCAGGTGCAAAGTAGCTTTCCTTCCAAACCATGATGTTTCCACCTCACCACAGACCTAAAGCAATGGAGCCACTGACCATGGACTGAAATACCATCAGCCTTATTATCTCTTCTAAGCTGTTTTTCTCAGGTCTTTGCTTACAGCAATGAAAAGCTAACTAACTACATTCATGCTCTAAATTTTTTTTAAAAAAGTGTTAGCAGGTATATGTTGGCATATGCCAACAATCCCAGCATCTGAAAGGCAAAGCAAAAGGATAGTGTTCGAGGCCATCCTGAGGCTACACAGTCAGTGCTTGTAAATAAAAATTTTTAAAAGGATTAATTGTTAAAAATACCACATATCAAACTCACAGCTGGGTGTAGTGGCGCACACCTGTAATGCCAGCACTCAGAAGGCTAAGGCAGGAGGATTGCTGTGAGTTCAAGGTCAACCTGGACTATATAGTGAGTTCAGGACTAGCCTGAACAACATAGCAAGACTGCATCTCAAAAAGCCAAAACCAAAACAACAACAACAACAAAAAAAATCAAAGGGGTAAAACAGAAAGGGTTCAAGACGTACCTCAGTGATCCCTGGTCCTAACACCATTTTTTTAAAAAGGTATAGATAGAATATACCAAAGCATTCTGTTATAAAAGTAACAGTAGTAAAGTAACATACTCTACTTCCAGAGGAAAAAAAGTAATGAAGCAAATAATCTAAAAGATTAACCATCAAAAAATAAATAAAAGATTAACAATCATTACCTAAAGAACAAAAACGTAAGTCACCACAGGCATCATTTCTGTGTTTGTGCAAACTTATGCCTGAGCCTGAGGGCTAGACTTTTAAATCTACTGTTATCATCGAGGACCCTTCGTCTCTCAGGATATACTGGAAGCATGATCAATCTAACTTCAAAACATCAGCGATCTCATTGTTCCTGCTTATTTAACACCAAGGAATCACCTACTACTGTCTTCAGCTAAAAAGTATAGATATAACTCACTTTATACAACTGTTCAAGGGGCTTAAATTAATGTCTGTAAAATACCTTTTATGGGTATTTCATAACAGGCACTGTTTTTACAGCAGTGCCTGACTGTAAAGGTTGCCCAATAAAATGTTAGTTTCCTTCCCTTCCTTGTCCAAGAACTTTCATTCCAAAAACAGCACAAGGGAAAATTTTTATTGTGACTAAAAGTTAACAATTAGCTAAATAAAGCTAAGAAACAGCATCCAAAGAGTAAGATTTTTCACATCTCTTTGCCACTCAAAAACTTTCCTGACTCAATATCCCAGCAGTAGTATTAGTATCTTCCCTTGTAACTAGGTCATCCTTTACTTATAATCTCAATCCTGTGTGCCTGGTGTAACACAGGCATTTCTACAGACATTTCGGGAGTGAATGATCGCCAATCGTATACCACTGGACTGCCTTCCCCACATTCTTGAATGTTCTATAATCATTAACTTTGATAAACACCCAAATATCACAACTGAACAGGAAACTGAAAGGAAAACATAATTAAAATAAAAATCCTACACAATCAAAACTGTGAAGGAACTAGAATACCTAATCAGGTTGCAGGTAAAATTTGCACTTAGATTTTTAAAACACCCACAATCTGCTTGTTTACTAGGTAATATGGCTACTGAGAGAGAAAATGTAGATGTGGGCTTTAATATCCTCTGGTGGGTTAATGATGAGAAGAGGCTCTGCGACCCGGAAGCCAAGAGAAAATGTTAAAAAGAAAATAAGAAAAAAAATAATAATAATAAGGGGCTGGGGATATAGCTCAGTGGCATAAACACCTGCCTGGCAAGCATAAGGTCTGGAGTTTGATTCCCAGTACAAAAAAAAATAAAATAAATTAGAGTTAAAGGCCAGGCATGGTGGCGCACGCCTGTAATCCCAGAAACTGAGTCTCAAGGGAAAAGTTACTATATGCAAGTTAAATCCTTGACTCTCTTAACAAGTAAATACCAGAATTAAACCTCAGGCATCTCCAAATTCACTACTCCTTCCAGTTCAGTGTGGCATCAGTTCCACAAAAAAGCAGTTTCTGGTTTCTTATGTTATCTCATACTAATAGCCCATGCTAAAAACTACCAAGGCAGGCACAATGGCACACAGTTGTAATCGCAGCTACTAGAGAGGCTAAGGCAAGAGGATTGCAATTTGAGGCCACCCTGGCAATATAGCGGGAACCCACCTTAATCTCAGTCATTTTTGTTTTTTTCTTTGAGACATAAGTCTCAACTACACTACTTGGGCTAGCACTGAACTCATAATCCACTCACCTCTTTTTTTTCTTAAGTTTGCGGGGATGAGTTGAGACAAGGTCTCTCTATATAGCTCAGGCCGGCCTTGAACTCACTAACCAGGCTGCTTTTGAACTCACGGCAATCCTCCTGCCTCAGCATCCCAAGTGCTAGGATTGCAAGAATATATATATATTCCCATGCCTAGGTTTTTTTACTTTATTTTAGAGATATACTCTTGCTAAATTGCCCAGGTTGGGCTCAAATTTGGCATCTTCCTGCCCTAGTCTCTCATGCAGCTGAGATTACAGGCATGTGCCATCATGCCCAGCTGATATTTTTTTTAAACCACAGATATGACCGCACTGGTAGTACCCATAGTCATATTAAAGAGACACAACTGAACTATTGCAATTGCCAATATCTGATTAGGCACTGGGGACATGAGACTGGATGAAGGGGTATACAGCACAGGGACACAATATACTGAAGACAGAGAGCTATGGATCACTTGGTCCTGCCTGTAACTTTAGCTAAACCACTAAATTTCTCAGAGTGAAATGCCTATGTTAAAAAAAGGTATGCCTGCCAGGCATGGTGGCACACACCTGTAATCCCAGCACTCAGGAGGCTGAGGCAGGAGGATCACCATGAGTTCGATGGGCTACATAGGGAGTTCAAGGCCAATCTGACTACATGGTGAGACCCAGTTCTCTAAAAAAAAAAAAGAAAAGAAAGTTTCCTCCCAACAAAATTCTGTCTTTAAAGATTTGGTAAGTAGTACCTTAAAAAAGGTTAAAAGAACCAAATAAATACATTCTTCTTCAACTAAGCCACATAGGAAGAGCCTCTCCTCAGTTACCTCTAATGTTCCACAGCAGTCACCACAGTAAAAAGGGTTTAACACTTTAAGACAAACTTAACTCAGAGAACCACTATTTAAAAAAAACACAACTAGGACCAACTTTGACTTAAAACATGAATTGTCTGCTTTAAGAAGAAACTTCAGTGAGGTATAGTTCATAAGTTGAGTGCATGCTTAACGTAAGAGGCCCTAGCTTCGATCCAATGAATAGGGAGAAGGGAAGGAGGGGAGGAGAGAGTGGGAAGGAAGGAAGGAAGGGAGGGAGGGAGGGAGGGAGGGAGAGAAGGAACCCTGAACTTGCAGCACTCTTACCGCCTCAGCCTCCCAAGTGCTGAGATTACAGGTGTGTGCCATCACACCCCACAGATGCCTGATTCTTCAGAGTCTTTACATTCAATTTTTGTCAGTGTATTACATATATATAAATAATACATTCAAAAAAATTTTCAACCAAAAATCACTTACAATTTGTAGCTTGATTGTTTTCCCATCTAACTCTATAGTTCTTATTTTGAAGTCTACACCAATTGTGCTGATGTAGCTTTCTGTATATGTATCATCCTGAAAAGAAAAAGTTGAAAATGAAAATCAAGGTTCAATAGGTAAATAGCATTTAATTTTATGTACAGTTTATAAAAAACTTTTAAAGTACAGCATGCTGATAGCCATTCAATCCTATTCCAGTATGTACGTTGATTAAAAAGCACTGACAAGCTAAGTTTCTTTTTCATTAAGATTTGCTCTAATTTTTAAATTTCTTTTGACATAGTGCCTTACTAGTCTAGGCTCGCCTTGAATCCCCCAGGCTCACCTAGAACTCTTGATCCTCCTGACTCAGCCACATCAAGCGTCAGGATTACAGGCGTGCAGTACCATGCCCAGTTTCTTGGCAAGTTCTTTTACATATATTGTGCAGGAAAAAAATTTTTGAATTTTCAGGGATTACAATGGCTTCCTGGGTTCAAGTGTCACACTCCAGAGTTACTGGGACTATAGCGGGGGAGGGGGGGGGTGGTGGTATGTGTGTGTGTGTTTCTAATTGCTAAACAATAAACTTAACACTACTCACCCATCCAGTTTATTCACCACAAAACAATGACCAGCATACTCTGCTCTTGTGGACATTTTTTAAAAAGTCAACTGTATTCCTAGTTATTGGTCTCCTAACTTCAGATATAATGCACACAATAGCTGGGCATGATGACATATGCTGTCACCCCCTGAATTCTAGGTTAATGCATATTCAAGCCAATCCTGGGCAACTTAGCAAGACCCTGCGTCTCAAAATTTAAAAAATAATAAAAATAAAAATAAAAGAGAAAGAAAGAGAAAGAAAGA